CCTGAACCATCTCATCATTTCACATGTCTTTCTCAGCGTTCTCCTTTGTTGGGCGATGTGATGCCACTCAGACAGATAAATAGAACTTTTAAAGATTTTTATTGTCGGTTTCTTTGGGGAATATTTTTTTTTTTTCATTATTGTTGTTTCTGCTTCTTCTGTCTGTTGTACGGCTTATGGCTGTGGCCTGCCACGCCATATATTTCCTGAGAAAATTTTCTTTCTTTTTTTATTTATTTACTTTTCCTGTTTCCTGGTTAACAAATTCAATTAAAATTCTTTAAAATCATTTCTTAAACTTGTTTTGGTTGGATTTTCATGCAATATTAGAAATTCTTTGGAGGGTTTTTTTGGTTTTCTTCATTTTGATTATTGTTATTTTCCTTATCGTTACCTTTGAGATGCTTCCTTGGAAAAATCATTATGTAAAGATAGATTGTGGTGCATAAGTATGTATGTACATACATACATACGTAAGTATGCATCTAAGTCTTTAAATGAATATTATTAGTTCAGAGGAATTTCTTGGCAAATTCTTTGCCATAACAATTTTCCTTAGAATTGTAATGTAAATCCGACTTCTAGTTTGTTAGTTAAAATATAAAGTTTACCAAGATATGTAATAGGGTGGGGAAGATCAAGGAGAAATGTGGGAGAATTAAAATTCTCATCTATTTTATTTTATCCCCGACTTAAAACCTATTATAAAAGCCAGGATGTTCTTGAGAATTAAAGCCCAATATTTTTCCACGGAAGATCTTGACGAAAGTGGACTATTTTGAATTTTTAGTATATCCACAAATTGGAAGTCGTTGTAAAACCTGCTTAAAAAAAATCCAAGAAGATGTTGAAAAAATATATTCAAAAAACTACACGATTTTTGGACGTTGAGACATTTTTATACCCTACACCACACTGTGGTCAGGGTATTATGTCTTTGTTTGTAATGTAGAAAAGGAAGCGAGTTAAACCCTTCCTTTTGACGATCTGCATAGAATCATATTCTGAGTCAATTTATACATGGCCTTTCGTCTGTCCATGTATTTTTCGAAACAAAGTACAGGCCGCATTTATTACCCGATCGAATTTTGAACAAGTGATTTGTTTGGCCCATCGACAAACCCTATTGAAATTGGAGAAAATCTGTCAAATTTATATAAAGCTCCCATATATATCTTCTTCCGATTCCATTCTTTTGTTGAGCACCAAATGTGTTATGTTAGTCCAAATAGTATGTATGTAAATGTAAAATTTGAGTTCGGTTTTGCCAACAGATGTATACCCTCAGCCAATGTTCGATTATTAAAATATGTTATGATTATTCAAATTGTTGACCTTCTATGGAGTAGGTTCTTAAGTAATGGGTCAATACTGTCCATTTCGTATAGGACCTTAATAAATATGATATAAATACTGCGACTTGCCAAATATGGACAATATTAGTTACCCTTTCACTTTATATGAGATAATTGTTAGAAAATATTAAAATGTGAACATAGTATATATAGATATATAGTATAGTATGTATAGATATATTCGACCGAAATATTCCATTTTCAAATTTCATCTAATACAGATAGAAATATTGGTGTGGACAAAAATACAAGAAAATCGAACATTTATATGCAATTTTATGCGAAATCATAAATTCCATATACATCTCTTGTTTTTGGTTGGGACTTGTTTCGAAAGACATGACCAATATAAAATATTGAACATTGTTAAATTTTGGGTGAGGTAACATATGGTGTTCGCAGATATATATCATATTCATAACAGATCTTGTGTTAGCAAAAATGTTTGTATGTGTGAAATTTGAAGAGAGAGAGAGAGAGAGGCTTTCTTTGAGCGTTTTGTTTTTAAAAAATCTTAAACCTTGGGGGTGATACCAGAAGAAATGTTCCGACCTCTACCATCTTTATAACCGATCTTGTTTTGATGGAAATATTAAATTTGATGGAATTTATTAAAGGCCTTGTGTTGATGGAAATATTGAGATGTACCAAATCAGAATGGAATTGGATGTTAATTTCGCGTTCTATGAGTTTCGTGGATACTCAAAATGTTGACCCTTTGTGGGAGAATTACAAGAAGGAGTAGATCGATATAGTGGATCACCACACTAGACCTTGACCAGCTCAACAAATCGGACTCTTGCATCTGATTTTATAAGAATTATAACTATTCAAAATTGTCACCCTTTGCAGGGGGTGGTATTTGATGGAGTGGATCGATATTGTCCATTTTCGCACCTGACCTAGCACTGATGCAAATATTAGGATTTGCAAAGTTGGAGCAAAATCGGATTATCCTTTCTCTCTCTGTGAACTAAATTTTTTTATACACTCCACCATAGTATGGAGGGTATATTAAGTTTTACATTTAGACCCCACAAAGTGTATATATTCTTGATCAGCATAAAATTCTATGTCGATTTAGCAATGCCCGTTCGTCTATCCGTATGTGGAAATTACTTTAGCTTCCGAACGAAATGAAGTAGGTTTATAAAACTTTACTCCGCAGGACTTTTGGTATTGAAAATGAGCCATGTAGGTCCATATTTTGGTATAGCCCCCATATAATTAAGCGACATTATTCACCGGAAATGTTTCAAATTTGGTATTTGAAGTTCAGCCTATGACAGAAAATAGTCCGTGCAGGTCCATGTCTTCGTGTAGCCCTCATATAAAGGTATATATTCGGTATATTGATGATTTTAGCTACATTATTCACCGGAATTGTTTCAAATTCGGTATTTGAAGTTCGTAATAGATATTAGATCCTATGGCAGAAAATTGTTTGTGCAGGTACACGTTTTGGTATAGCCCTCATATAATGGTACCTCTATATTCAGTATTTTTGACAATTTTAGACACGTTATTCACCGATTTTTTTAAAGTTTCGCATTTGAATATTGTAATGGCTTATGATAAAAGTTGCCTATGCAGGTGCGGTATTGTTAGGATTTTAACAGAATTTTTAACGGGTTTTATTTTTGTGAAAATTACCAAATTCGTTCCAAATGGTGTAGGGTATTCAAAGTTCGACCCGGCCGGACTTACAACTTTTTTACTTGTTTTTTTTTTTTTAAATTTCGACCTTTTGTGGGATAGGTACCAGAAGCAATGATCCTATCTTCACCATCTTTATAACATATTTTTGTTTAATTTGGCGAAGTTCATATATATTCAAAATGATGACCCTTTGTGGGGAGGTACCAAAAGGAGTGGGTCCATCTTCACACCAGACCTTTTGTTAATAAAATTTTTTTATGTGTGTAATTTGAAGATAATTGAACTATTTTATCACATTTTATAAGTGTTTCTTTCTTTTTGTGCAGTAAAATTTTTTTCTTAGATTTCGAGTGGACCGATATTGCCCATCTCCGAACTCGATATAAGTTTTATAATAATATTACGATGTACCAAGTTTGGATCAACTCGGATATTCCCTTCTAGAGTTATCGTGCGCAACAGCCAGACCAGATATCGCTAGAGCGACTCCAAATGTCCAGAAACGGATTTGGTCCAAAGAGACGTAGGATCTAAAACAGTTGCTTCGATGAGGCACGTTTTGGCCGTATCAAATGAAAATTTAAGAAGACCTTGAAAACAATATTTTCAAAAGCTTTGCGATTTATGGCCATTGGGACATATTTTTTAAAACAATTGCTGAACATTGATTTTTACACCAAACGAAAACTTCCATTATATCATTTTGTATCTCTTAGTACTTTTCGTACTTCTTCGGTGCTATTTTTAAAGGAAGTTCAAAATATCTCTCGTCAAAGTTAGATTCTATGCCGATTTTTTAAGTTTTTGGCTTTTAATAATCGATTAATAATACATTCTGTTACCTTTTGCTTTTTTATAGTACGAGATTTCGAAATTAATTAGTTCTAGCTTTCAACGATCGATCTATAACAATGGTGTAGCGTTTTGTAGCATCTAGTAGATTTCGTACCCATAAAGTAATCCAAACCCCATTATATCATCCAAAAACGAACTTCATGAAAAATATCATATGTCTAGCTTTACCAGTCGGTAAAGTACTTTCGTGCCCTTAATGTACGACTTAAAAAAAAGAACACCGTGTCTTGTTTTCTAAATAAATCGATCGATTTATAACAATGCTGTACCGTTATGTACCGTCAAGTATCATGAACCTCATGGAAAATATCAATTTCTAGCTGTAGCAGCCGACAATTTACACTGTCGTCCCAATTTATACTTTTTCGAAAATTTCGTGCCCTTAAAGTACGATTTTCCTAAATTTAAAACCGTATCGGGTCTTCTAAATAAATAGTGATCATTATGAAAATATTCAAAATCTTTAATCGATCTATTATTAAACCATTTTTTACCCTAAAAGTACAAATTTTTAAAACTTCTGCAGTTTCTCATTAAAACTGTCCCTAAGATTAAAAGTGTCGAAATTCCAACCGCATATAGATTACCTCTCTGAAAATTATTAAAGCTTAAGCTCCTGACCATATCGTAATAACAATGCCGTTTCATTTTGTCATTTAACATCATAATTTTGTCATTCACATCATGAGTCCCTTTCCTGTTAAATTTCGAGATTCTATCCTTAACCAAATCTGTTGCACCAAAATATTTAACAAATACCAAATTCAAACTACATCCTCCCTAAATTCGCTCCACCCCATTACACATTTTTCCTGACTGACTCACAACTTTTGACTATTGCACACAACGATGCCTCGAAATCTTCCCATTTTCCATTTGTGGCCATTTTGGGGCAACAAGAGAAGAAATACTAATTAATTACAATGATTTCACTTTGTAAGTAAAATATTTGCCGAAGAGCTCTTGAAAACTTACAAATAGTTTCCTTGCAGTGAATACAACTGGCGTATTTACATAGTAGTTGTAACAAGTTATCTAAGTAAATCTTTAAGTCTAATTACATAAGTATCTATGTGAAACCCTAATGCAATTGAATTACAAAGAACATTTTTGAAAATTGTTTCGTTGCAGTAATGAAATAATCCTTGTCTTGTGGAATATAAATACGCAGCCAAAAATAGCAATTCAATATTTGGATACATTTGTGTGTGATGTGAAAATTTATTAAAGGTAAGTTGATATAGAGATTTGACCAAAATTAATTAAATTTGATGTGAAATGAGTTACAAGAAATATGTTCGCAAGAGAAATTTTTCAAAAAAAAAGAAAAAAAAAACATCCAGAAATCTTTGATATTCATGATAATGCGAATATTAAAATTGGAATCCACTTACATCACAACAAAACATTGAGTGAAACAATTACGTTATAAAACCAGTAAAGAAAGTCTTAAAGTTGGGCGGGGCCGACTTTATGATTATAATTATAATTTAAAGTTAAAAGAACTAAATTTGGCGAAGTATTTGTATCTTTTAAATTCGGACTTGTATTGCCCATTTGGTGCAAAATTAATTTGAAATCAGATAAAGATATATATGGGAGCTATATCCAAATCGGAACCGCTCTCGATAAAATTTGGCAAAGATATTTCTGAGCTGTATTTGATATATTTCCCTGAATATCGTTGTTACGGAATGCATATTACGGCTCTGGGTAACAAATACAACAAATCGGATGAACAATACATATGGGAGCTATAGCTATATCTGAACCGATCTTCACCAAATTTCACATACTAGCTTCTAGACTTAATTCGGTCGCTTGTGCTATTGGAGCTACATCCAAATCTGAACCGATCTCGATAAAATTTTGCAAATGTATTTCTGAGCTGTATTTGATATTTTTTCCCAAATATTGGTGTTACAGAGTGCATATTACGTCTGCGGAGGACTAAAGTAACAAATCGGATGAACAATATATATGGGTGCTATAGCTATATCTGAACCGATTTCGATCAAATTTGGTATACTTATTTTCAGGTCCAATCTGATCGTACGCGCCAAATTCCATACTATTCCGGCTGCTATTACACGTTTGGTGCACAATAAAAGGCAAATCGGACGGAGCTATATCTACATTTTGACCGATTATCTCCAATTTCAATAGGGTTCGTCCTTGGGCCAAACAAATGATTTGTGCAAAATTTCATCTGGATAGGGCAATAAATGCGAACTGTACTTTGTTTACAAAAATACGTGGACAGACGGACGGACGAACAGACGAACAGACGGACGGACGGACATGCATAAATCGACTCAGAAAGTGATTCTATGCAGATCAAAAGGAACTATGGGTCTATCTCGTTCCCTTTTGCCTGTTACAAACAAATGCACAAAGACATAATACCCTGACCACCGTGTGGTGTAGGGTATAAATATACATTACATATATTTAAAAAAAAAATCTATTTAACCGCCTATTTTCAACCACTGGACCCAATTATTGGTAAAATCAGGGGATCACCTACAATATTATAAAAATTGAGGAATATATGGAACCAATGTTCACTCCCTTGTCATAGAAGTTATTTGTAAAATAACTTCTGGGGAGAATATACCAGACAAGAAACAAAAGAATTGATGAGGATTGGTGGCTCTTTCCGAAACCTAGGTATTCCCTGCCTTACCCCTGGTAAACATTACCATCGTTCTCCACTAATAAACAAACGTTGTTTTTATAAAAAACAACAATAAAGGAATTAAGCCTGATCATTTTGCAACAAAACAAAGAAATATAGGAAACTAAAATTTGAACCGATTTGAGAGCGGGTTGGTCAATTTCGAAGTTGGGCTATATCGGTCCACGATATCGTATAGTCCCCATATAACGGTATCTCCCTTATTCGGTATTTTGATGATATTAGCTACATTATTCACCCGCATTGATTCTAATTTCCTATTTGAGGTTCCTAATGGGTACTACAGCCTGTGACAGAAAATTTTCCATGCAGGTCCAGGTCTTCGTATAGCCCCGATATAACTTATGTTGATGATTTTTCGGTATTTTTAAAATGTTAGCTACATTAACAGGATTTTTCAAGTTTAGTGTTTGAATAGTATGGCTTATGACAAAAGTTGTAGGGTGCATATCTTCGTATAGGCCCCAGTATAACGGCTATATCCGGTATGTTTAGGATTTTAAACAATTTTTTAATAATAAATAAACTTTATTTCTTTATTTATTTATTTTTTTTTTTTTTTAAAACTTCCAAATTCGTTCAAATACTTGTCATTCCATTTGTAACTCATCGAAATAATTACCTTAATTACCTAAAGAGTACAGGGTGAGATAAAAAAAACTGCAACAAAGTCAAACGACATAATTTTTACATTATTTGTCAATTATATTGAATGAAAGAATAAAGTCGGAAATAGCATCAAATTTTAGAATAAGTTTAGATTTGTTCGAATTGGTCAACTTTGGCACGAATTATGGCCTTCAAAATACCTATGAAACCGTGACACGCTGCCCGCATGTTGGTCTGTGGTATTTTGGCCCATTCCCGGCGAAGCGTTTGCTTGAGGTGATCGACACTTTGGTATTTTTCGGTGCCAAACTTGCTTTTCCAAATACTTCAGAGACAACAATCCAACGGATTGGTATCCGGAGATTTTGGTGGCCATTGTGCTCTGGAAATGAAGCGAGGAACCTCAATTTTTATCCATTCATGGGTGACGCGTGCTGAGTCCGATGGTGCTGAGTCCTGTTGGTATCCAAGGTCCAAGGTCTGCGGCCAAAATGTTTGCGTGCCCTAGCCTTTAATACACGCTCCAGAATATTTTCTCTATAATATTCGGCATATATTCTGATGCCACGGTCGATTAATAGCAACGATCGGAGAGCGACCATCGGCTGTTATGGCGGCCCACACCATCATCATGGCCGGAGCTTGAGTTCTGGTGCCCAACCGAAGGTGCACATTTTCAGCTGACCTCTTTGGCAAGTAAACACGATCATTTTGTTTGTTTACAGACTGCTGGACAGCGAATGTTTTCTCATCGGAGAATACCAAATTCGTCTGTTCACCACTTTCGGCCAAGCGAAGCAACTCTTTAGCTCTTTTGAGTCTATTTTCTTTCTGTTGCGGTGTAAGTTCTTGACCTTTTCGGAATTTCAAAGGCTTTACCCTAATTTTTACCTCATTTTTCAATATTTGTCGAATGGAATATTGCGATATGTTCAGCTCATGATCAAATTTTCGGCCACTGCGACGGGAGTTTCGATCAAGTAGCTTCTTTATTTTTCGAACAATTTCTGCTGATTTTGCTGTTTTCTTCCGTTAACTTCCTTGACGTCGGGCTACGCTACCAGTATCATGGTAACGAGCGATGGTACAAGACAAAACAGATTTATTCACATTTAAAGGCTGGAGTGCTCTAAAGATAGCTACTTGTGGTTTTCCAGCCAAATATAAAGAATTCACACTATCACGCTTGAATTCCATCACGATTTTTTTTTTTTTTGGAAAATTCTCATCAAAATTCTTTCGTACGCTTGTAAACAATATAATGAGCTGTCACTGGAATAATTTTAGGACTTTCGGACAGTAGCTTAGAAATTACAGTAGTATGAAGTTGGTTGTAGTTTTTTCATCTCACCCTGTATATTGGCTAAAATATTTAACGGTTTTAAAAAGATTGATGTATAATTTCACATTTGAATCCTTTTGGAGTTTCCAAAGCTCCGCTATATGGGAGCTATGACTTGAAGGATGTATCCGACTTCGTACAAACTTGGTACATCGTCATATAATTATCATACTTTACAGATGGGCAATATCGGTACACTTCTTCTGGCATTTCTTCCCAAAAGAACAAAGAAAATAATTTAATTTGAGGCAAAATTCTAAGTAATCACAACTCTTCGAAAATTTGAAGTAAGAGTTCTTTTGTCTTCGAATTCCGCACAACAACAATTTTGCGTAACACAAGATCTGGTGTGAAGGTGAGATATAGCGGGCCACTTCTTCTGTTACTTCATACACATAGAAAAGTTTCTGAAAGATATGAGATGTTTTGAATAGGCGTGATCCGATGGTCTCCTTCGCACTGGTTGGCGCCTGTTATCATAGAACTTTGAAAATCCCATAAATTTAATAATAAGTGGCTTTAAACGAAATAAATACTAAAATGGTTTGCAATTCAATTTTCAAATTCCAATTCTGTCCCTATTTTCTTATTCACACCCTGTACAATCAAAATGAATGGGAAGAAGTAAAAATATTTCTTTTCTCAGAAAGAGGGTTTTATTGTTGCAGAAATCCATTACCTATGAAAATATCCCAACATTACGACGAATAGCCTTAAAACCCAAGAATATCTAGTCCTGGATTAGGATAACAAAAATTTGTTGGTACAAACGCCCACATCAACGCCCCTTGTTTGATTTCTTTTTGCACAGAAATGTTTTATAAATCAATTGTTTTTCTTTAATGGTTTTGAGCAACGAATGCCAGGAGAACAAAGGGAACCCTTTGTTTCAACTAAGAAATGTGTGTTTTCTTTGCAAATCCCTTCTAGTTGGAAACATAACAACCCCCCCCCCCCCCCTCTACCTAATGTATGCATGCACGTACCACCCTCTGCCCGGAATGCTTTCCATGCCTGCTGTCGACCTTATCCTAAAAAAATAATATTGAAAATCTTTCGGAAAACAAAACAACATACAAGTTTGGAAATTTCTCGTTGTTGGCCATATGAATTGTTTATTGTTGTTTTCCTTTTCTCTTTTTTTAATTCCATTACAAAAAAAGAACAACGCCACATCATCGACGACAACAACAAGAACAGCAATACAGGCCAAAGGTAAAACAACAACGTTAAAAACTTTACAAATCAGTACCGCTGAAAAGTGCAAAACACAAATTACCATGTAGGACAACATGTTTTACATACCTCATTATGGAGGAGTTGAACATTTCATATGAGCGTTTTATGCTGTTGCCGTGGTTTCTGTTGTTGTTGTCTTTTTTTGGAATTTCTTTCATTTCACAACAACAGCGGCCACAGCATTAATACAGAAAAATCCTAAAACATGTAAAAAAGCTGCACGTTCGGCCGGAACGAACTTTGAATATCCTCCACCATTTGGAATGAATTTGGAAATTTTGAAAAAGAAAAAAAAAAGTAAAAAAGCTGCAATTTCGGCCGGGTCGAACTTTGAATACCCTC